AAAAGTAGCAAAAATAATAGTCCAACACCATATATAAAAAGGAAAATCGCTCGTTGTGTCCCTGTAGAGCAATGGATAGCGCACTGGACTTCTAATCCAAAGTTCGTGGTTTCGAATCCCATCTGGGATGGCCTAATTTCTGACAATGTGATTTATGAATGAATTAATATAAAGAAAAATGAAATTATAGTTTAAAAAAACTAAGAACACCCTTTTATAGTAAATCGAACTAAGTTGTAACTTATCTTTTTGTCGCCAAATCTGGAAATGGGATCAAAATTTTTCGGGAGCTCTTGTTTTGCAGCTTCTTAATAGCTTAGGATATTTTGCTTACAAATATTGAGGCCCCTGAAGCTTGGGGCCCCCGTATCATTGATACGGCTAATACGGCGGTAGTTACGCCCCTGCTCCGAATACATGTTTCAGAAGTATATTTAACATTTTTAACTTCCATGAAGAGTTGAATTAAATTTAAAGTAATGGTCAAAGGAGATTATATATAGAAAAAAATTTTGAGAACTAATGATGCGTGCAAGCATTTAATATTTTGAATTAATATTTGCAATCAAGTTCACGGTACATAATTTACAAAAGACATTTTCATACAATATTTTCTAATGATTTTTCGAAGATTATACAGTAAATTATTTCTTATTTTTTGCTGAAAATACGGATAACATTTTTTTTAAAAAAAACTACTACAATGTTATATTTTTAATTATGAGAAGTGTACGAAATTGAATACAAAATTCACAAGAGAGCATATTTTTAATTGAATACCAAAATTCCCAAGAGAGTATATCTTTAAGTGCTATTCGTTTTAAATAAAAATTTAATTGATAATCACATACAATTTTTTAAATCCAGACCATCAATTTTATCAACTCAAAAATATATATATTTCTTTTCATTATTTCTATAAATTCTTAACTCTTTTTGTTAGATTCATTTAAGTTGCTATATTTATAACGACTCATATCTAAAGTTCCTTTGTAGGAAAAATTTTTTATTTCTATTTAAAAAAAAAAAAAAAAAAAAAACGAATTACAAAACAGTCTAAAAAATGCGATATTAGAAGCACCTTCACTTACATCCATATTTATACGCATTACAAATAGTAAAAAACGTAAACAAGTGTAAATTAGCAAAAACAATATATATATATATAATTTTCCTTTTATTTATGAAATGGGTATCTTTTTGTAATTCCACGCGCGTTGCAATCAATCACACATTCTAAAAAAAAAATAACAAGCTTTTATTAAATGAAAAATATTCGCATTAATAGATAATTTCAAATTGCATTCTTCATGTAAATTAGATCCTGAGATAATATTGAAGCGAATATCACACAGCAGGTCAAAATACGTGATTCGTCCAAAATTCGCTGAGATACTTTTTCGTTGCAGAAGGGAAAAAATATCCACAACCAGTAAGATCGCTCGGCTTAGCCACGTGACTGCTTAGTCCAGGGTGTAAGCACGTGCTTCCTTTTCTCCATCTAGCGTTGTTTGACTAGTCTTCTCATTTCTACTTCTTCTCCCATACGTGTTCCGTGATTTCATTCGATTTTGAGTTTGTTTCCCTTCAGCATTCTTCATGGCTGTGAGAACTCTGGCAAAAACTCTTTTTACCGGCATTGGTAAGTGAGATGAATTTGCTTTATTTAAATTGAGAATGGCAAAAATTTCTATTTAGTCCGTATTCTGTTAAAAGCGTTAAAACACGATTTATTTACGTTTACTTAAGATCAACCATACTTTATGAGTAGTTGAGTAAAAGAGTACAGGAAAATTAAAGCGGTATTTTTGAATCTCGGATATGTTACACGTTTTTGTTTAAGTAGAATTTGTGTTTTTGTATTAGTTTCGTTTTACACAAATGGGATAATATTGAATTTTGATTATAACTTATTTGTTGTTGATTTAATTTACTAATTCTATTGTAATTTATGAAACAAATATTATTTCCCCTTTATGTTTTAATGTTGGGGTAGGACTAAGTATTGCAATGAAATTTCTCTTTGTTTAATAGGTACTTCGTTCGAGGTTTCACTCAATTCTAAAAAAAGGCACCGGTTGGTTTTAAGCGAAATATAACGTACACGATCCTTTATAAAAATAAAAGACTTCAGTTATTACATTTCTTTTGTTTACTAATGTAGTGTTTGGATTTTCGTTAACGTGAAACCCAGCTGTTTCGGTTTTATTGTGTGAAATACGGCTTAGTTCAATTAAATAGAAAGGTTGCAATGAAACGTTTGCTGTCTCACACATTTTCAAAATTCTAATTCGTTTGATTTCGTTGAGTCATTCATTTTTCAGTAGTTGTTAAATTTAGTAATGAACTGTATATATGCCGGCTATACTTATCCAAAACTTGGATTTTGTTAAGATTTCTTTTTATCCGTCTGATATTGGCGGCTAATTGAAATGTAAAAATTTTAAAAAATCCGTGCATACATAATTGTAGCATTATTCATGCAAAATTCTTTAAACTTTTTGCATAAAAGGCTTTTAAAATAAAATCGTACATTTGAAAATTTTATGTTTCTAAATATAGGCATTTCGACGCATTGTGCAAATAGATTTTAAGGCGCATTTTATGAGCCAAATTCTTAAAATGTTTATATTTTTATTTATTCAGTTTTTGAAGTGGAAGGTTTTTGAATTTGGATTATGTGGAAGCGTTATTTTTGATAACCATAAAATGCAAACTGTAACTTCGCACCTTTTTGTTTCTTTTAAAAAAGCTTTTGATGCATATTTAAAAAAAAAAAAAATCTTACCTGACATTATGTTAATAAAAAACATAAATTAATGTCTAATGCTGGTTGAATTTTGGTACTTACTAGTTATATGGAGCATGGTTTGACGACTGCTTTTCCAAGATGGTGACAATATGAGCTTCATTTTGCCATGTGGTGTCACAGGACGAATTTTTTTTGAAGTATTTGACATTTATTGGCATTTTCTGTTATGTATTCATTAAAAGTTTACTCTTGAATTCACCCACTTCATTTGTTAGCAGTAAGCATTTATTTAAAGTGTTTTGATATACTGGGTATTTGTTATAAAAGCATTAATTCAGATTCATGTAACATTCTTAATCTCCGTGACATTAGGCATTAAATTTTTTGTTCATTTTTTTTTATGGAACATAATTTCGAAAAAGGTGATAATTAAAAAATTGCAACACTCATTTCAATTTAATAATCGTGTAGAAAATTTCAAAACGACACTTTTTTGAAGTCTAAATTGAAGAATTATTTTAACTAAGATATTTAGTTGTTATAAAAGTGTAATTTTCGATAGTAAATAAGTAGATAAAAAAAATATATAATTTTCTAATATAACTTTTATGATTCTTGAAGTGAGAGAAGTTTCATTTTTATTTTAATGCTTTAAGATCAATATTGTGCAGAAATCCAAAAAATATACCATTTATTATTTTAAATACCTCTGTGCATTTTCAGATTAATGAGATCTCTTAACACAATGCAATCAGCGCATATAATATGTTCAATTCTAAGTGAAACAATGGAACAGAAAATAGCATTTTTTTTAAAGAATTACATTTAAAAGGAACTCTACAGGACCACAAGAGCAGTTGCCTTTCTACAGTTACGCACTTACCGCATAGTTTTCTGCCGGTATTTATATATTTTTACTAACTATTCTACATTCTTTATAATAACTTTGCTTTTATTTCACTGAAGTTGTAAAATCAATTACAACTACTGTGTTATACAGCAATCGATTACTATGTGAGAAGTGTTTATACATGTGCAACTGACACACTGTTCAAATATTGTTATAAAAATTGAATTATGTATTTTCAGGGTGTAGCTAACGCCGTATCAATGATACGGGGCCCCAACAAATGAAAAAAAAAAAAAAATCATAACATGTTAAGGGGACCCCAAAAAGGGTTTTTAAGAAATTTTGATACAGGGCCCACTCAGGACTAGATACGCCAGTGTGTATTTTGCATATCGTTCTCTTTGTATAACATTTTTTTATGTGTGTTTGTGTGCGTGTTATAATAGATTTGTTCCCCCAAAATATACACTCTTTTTATAGTAAACTGAAACCTGATGTTGATCGAACGAAACAGAAATGCATGTTACATTAAAGTAGTAACGATCATTTTTAAAAAATGAAACGTTTTTATAAAAATTTTTAAACATTCAGTTGTTTTACATTAAAAAGTAAATGTTTAACTTCTTTGTGTAGCAGTATTCGCATTTGAAAATTTTTTACCAGTAGTTGGCAAAAAGAACTTAGTTTCAGTGGAATTATACTACGACGAATTCGTGTTTTTTGTTATGTTCATTTGAAATTTATACTGAGAGAGAGAGAGAGAGGGAAAAAAAAAGTTAGAAATGTACTGGAACGTACTCCTAATGCCTTGAGCGTTTCAACATCTATTATGCTGTTTTATCAGATGTTTAACAATCTTAAGCTTTTATCAGTGTATTCGTTTATCTAAACTTAAGCAACTGTGGGTGAATGTATTGCTAAGCATAAATAAAGTACAACAACTTGAGGTTATTGTAATTGACTTATATATTGCAAAGGGAACTAAACCACCTTTTTAGTTTATAAAACAATTGCTATTCATTTCAATTAGTGTTAAATTACGCAATCAAAAGAAGTAAAAAAATTTTCATATGTTGATAGTGTATTTGATTTTCCTGTTGAACAAGGCCAATTTTAGAGATTTATTTGTCAATGTATTTTTGACTTGATGTAATTAAAGAGATGTTCCTTTTCAAAGGCAGTTCTTAAATTATTTATCTCTTTGAATTATCTTCACGACCTTGTAGAGTCTTGTCCTCATAATAAAAATGCTTTTGTTCCTAAAAACATTTTTTTTATTGACGCTTTGCTTCTTTCTGTGAATCTTGTGAAAGGACTTACGTTTTCAAATGTTTACTACATTGTTAAAACTTACTGCGAATAATAAATTTGTTCCCATTTCTTGACGAAAATAAAGTTAAATCTTCATGGCTAGGTATACTAGATTTGACATTAATTTATTTTCCAGACGAGTTCTTCATGTTTTAATACTTGTAATTCACTGTTAATTAGTGTTTCAATGTAATTTAATGTACTAAAAAAAATTCAA